GTTCCACATTGTTCCACATTGTTCTCCCACTCTATCCCGGATCCACCTCTGAGTTGTTGTCAGTGGTAGCCAGGCACCATCTAGTTCTTCTGGTCTCATGGTCATGCAGGCTGAGGATCACATGGTCTACTAGTCCCTTGGACTAATTGTTTCCATGCGTCTTTGGTTTTCTTCATTCTTCTTTGCTCTGGATAACGAGAAACCTTTTAATTGCATCTAGATGGCCTCTTGCAAGCTTTTAATACCCCAGTCACTTCTCACCAAAGTAGGATTTGGAACAATGTTTTTGTGCAGTATGTTATACCAGTTGACCTCGATGTCCCCCGTGACCCTGGTCCCAAGCCCACAGGTCCAACTCCTTGCTCCCTCAGTGTGGTTGGCTGTGGCTGAGAAGTTCTTATAACTTTGCCTGTGTTAGTCCTAGTTGCTTGAACATACATACAGCACATACAGATGCATATGAAGAATAGAGAAGGGGTGGAGAGGGACGGCCTTCATCAGCTGAATCTTTGAATTGACATGTAGTTGCTGGCAATGATATAAAGATCAGTGTAACGAACGAGCATTCCGAGTCGACCCTGAACATCATGTCGGGAAAGAAGAGCCAGCCCTCCATGTATGAGCAGCTTCGTGACATCGCCATAGACAACATCTGCAGGTGAGTGGGCCCGGTTCCATGACGGCGGCCTGCTCCTCATTCCCTAGGAGGGAAGAAAACTGTGCCAGACACAGACCTGTTGTAAACTAAATATGTATTGGCACTGAAGGGGCAGTGTTGGTAGAATCCTTGCTCATATTCAGGAGACCTGGGTTCAGTTCCCAACCAGTGCACCTCATGCACCAACCCGGGGGCTTGTGTGTTTCTGTGATGCTGAACTTGTGTCAACTGGCTGGGTCTGGTTGAGGGGCTGGGCAGCGGGATGTAGTGATTCCCCGTGATGAGACTGGTCATCCGCTCCATGGTGGAATCCACCGGAGCAGCTGAGTAGCTGCCTTAGGGGTGTGGGGAGTTTCCAGTGCATAAGGAGACAGCATTGAGAAAGGTCTCTGAGTGTTTTGGCACGTTTGGACTCTGCATGTAGCTGAGTCCTCATTCACCAGCCTGCCATGTTGTCTGCCGATCTTAGGATTATTCCTGGACTTGAACTCCTGGCCTGCCATGTTGTTTGGTAATATTGGGACTGTGCCATTTTCCTTGTCAGCCTTGGGTTTGTCAGCCTCAGCAGCCAGCAGTTGCCTGAGTTAAGAGAAGCCTCCAGCTCCAGTGGGCCAGGAGTGAGAGGCAGAGTTGAAGCCCAAGGTCAAGGGGCTTTCACCCAGCCCCTAGAGCTGGCACTTAGAACTTGGGTGTTTAGCCTCTTAAACTGTGGGGAATAAATTTCTGTTTGTTAAGACCACCCACTTGGGATATTTTCTGTTAGAGTAGCACTGTTGTTGTTTGTTGTTATGTGCCGTCGAGTCGGCCCCGACTCATAGCGACCCCTCCTTGGGTTTCTGAGGCAGTATCACTACGGAAGTAGGATTGCCCAACCTTCCTTCCAAGGAGTGGCTGGTGGGTTTGAACCTCCTGCCTTCTGGTTAGCAGTCAAGCACTAGAGAAGCAAAACACCATTCCTGTGAATTTTCTTCCAGACCAGTAAAGGACCTTTGAAATGAGAATCAGGCTGACTGAGATTCCAGCGGAAACCATTCTGGGCCAAATAATGATGCTGAGTTTCAAATTGAAGCTTCCAGAATGTGGCAAATAGTTGTGCATGGCTGCCAGCTTAAAAGTTACTGGTTCCAATCCAGGCAGTAGCACCGTGGAAGAAGCCTGGTGACCTGCGTCCACAAGGGTCACAGCTCAGGAAACCCCGTGGAGAAGTCCTGCCCTGTAGCACCGGGGTCTCCGTGAGCCTGAATGCACTTGACAACAGCGCGTTTGGATGTTTTGTCTGTTTCCAGTTGAGACATCCATCAAAACGGGCAAAGTCTTCAGCAGTTCTTTGCATTCGTTCTGTGTAATGATTCCATTCACAGTTCCAGCAGAATTTTCGGATCAGTTCTTTAAACATTGTAGACCTGAAAAGTGGGAAACAGCTGGTGGTTTTGGTGCTGAACGTTTCATGGGTGTTCTCAGGTGCCTGAAAGCTGGCCTAACTGTGGACCCTGTGATTGTGGAGGCCTTCCTGTCCAGTCTGTCCAACCGGCTCTACATCTCACAGGAAAGCGACAAGTATGTTCCTTCAGGGGAGCCTGTGTGGATGCACAAGGTGGGGGGCGCCTGGTGTTGTGCATGGGTATTTATGCCTGCGAGGGGCGGAAGCTCCTACCAGTAAACCACTTGGCCTTTGGTCTTGGTTCCTGAGTTCAGGATGGAGCTGACTCAACCCAGGGGGACCGTCTGGAGGCCTGACACTGACTGAGCCTCAGGAGGCATTTTATCATTAATCGTGGCTTCCTGAAGAGTCACGTAAAGCACTTGGAAGATGGAGGCTTACGGGAGCTTCCTGGGTGGTGTGCCTGAACAAATGCACATCCTCTGGGGAAATGGACACTCTGTACCAGGACCCTGCTTTGACATTTTCTTATGTGTTTGTGTCATTGTTTGCTGCTGGATTAATAGCTCTTTCCCTGGAGTTTGTGTATTGTTCCAATAGGTTATTGGAAGTAAGACACAATGATAGGGCAAGTACCTGCTGACCTGGCCCTGAATGAACAGGGACAAAAGAGCAAGAGGGTGCTAGTGCCCACTGACCTGGCCCTGAGTGAAACTGAATGGGACAGAGCAGAGACTGGGACCCTCTGACCAGGTCCTGGTGATTGGGGCTGAGAGAGAGGGTTGGTGCCCACTGCCCTGGCTGTAGGTGAATGGGGATGAGACAGAACGGGTTGTGTGGAACAACTGATATTTGGCCTGACTAGGCATGGAAGCCTATGATTTCCACAGGATGCAGTTGGCACGTAGAGTGCGGTTTACCATCCACCACACATTCCGTGTACAAAAACGGCAAGGAGGCCACATGTTCTGACCTCCTCTAACCCTACAAGGGGAAGGCAGGATT